GAATTTTCTATTATTGCTGAGACATCCTCACATTAGGTAATAGGTAGGATTGTCTTCTTTCCTTTAGGTTAAGAAAGCTAATGTAAATAAACTTTCAACTATATATTATGAGACACATGCAAATATTCCCAGTAAGATTCCTTCTTCATTCATTTTAATTCTCATTGATACTTTTTTTTTCTTATCCTAAATGTAGGAGTTAGTTAAAGAATTTGTTTTGTTCCTACATATAAGACCTCAATCTCTCTTTAATTTATTATTAAATTTATTATTTTTCTTCCAAATTATCCCTATTGATTTGCACATATTATGAATGTAATCAATATCAATAATTTTCAATATAAGTGATTAAAAGGACAGATATTTTTAAAAATAATTAACTTAACTAGTTTTTTTAGTCGGTCTGTACTAATTATTAACTCTCACATTTAGGACTAGATGATTAGTTTTTTATTAAACGAAACTTGGGTGAAATAAGTATTGGATTTGGAGCGCTCACATGCCCGTCACAGCTTAAATAAATACTACCCTCATACACATCAATAAGATACTTTCTTTATACACACAGCTAACTAGTGCTTACATACATTATGAGTGCATGCGTTGTCAATTTTTATGGGTTCCTTAATTATGACCCGCCTCTTTTTGTTGGGAAGAGAAATCTAATAGCATGTTACGACAAGAATATTTGTTCTGCTATGCCATATCTATCCACGAAGAAAAAAATGTTCCTAAGTGGCCTTACCTACGAGACCTTCCCTAGCTAGGCAGCTATATCACCCTGGAGAAATATCTGCAGAACAAAACAAACGCAACAGAAAATCAAGGAGCACTTAATAACTATGTGGCAGTAAAATCTGTACAAGGCATGCAGGGTTTCGACGCGTAAGGAGATTGATTGCAGCACTCAAGTGTATTGGGATCTCATGTCTCTATTCCCTTTTTCTCAGCACGCCAGCAGCAACCATACCAATTTGGCCAGACCACCCTACTGTGTTGGCCGGAGCACCAAATGTTTTTTCTCACTTTGGACCGAATTTCGAAGCAGCCAGCAAATTCTTGTTGATGCGTTTTTAATTTCTTGTCCCTTTTAGACTGAGGCCGCCGAAGATTTGGACTTCGTTAATCTTGGTGCTTGTGAGTGTACGCAGTTTGCGAAACACTAAGCTGTTTGTTTAGATGCTGGGAGACAAAGAAGATGAATCTGTACTTGTTTCTTCTGATACATGTTTGTCGTTTTAATATCATTTTTGTTATATCCATAAAACAGTATACAAGCAAATTGAAAAACGCCCCATCGACTAATGAAGTAACGTCAAGTTGAATGAACGAGTTTGTTAATTGTAATTCAATATGTGTGAAATATACTTTCACAAGATTTCATTCTATTTTACTTTCAGTGTACAGACAATGTGATTCAGGGGACATATATCTGAGAATTTCTCCTCATTTCTCACGTTCACTGGCAGAAGAGTGGGCCATATTCATCAAAGTAAAGACTTCACGTTCACGTTACCTTGATCTCGTATATGCTCCCACTGAGAAACTTTTTCTTTTTTTGTGTGTAAAAACCTAAAGCTTTATTCAGACAAGAAGTTTGGTGAAACTGAACAGACGAACGAACTCTAAATAATTCCTCCCACACACAGTAAAAGGCTTCAGCTGATGGGAACAATTAATCTGAGAATCTCAACAGGTAGACACCTTCGCTAGATTCTTTGTTGGCATCCATCTGGCGTGTGTGTGTACATACAAGTTAAAAGAAACAACAAAACGAGAGTTTTATTTACGTCAAACTATGTATATTCAACTCACATTATTGACTTCCCAAAAGTGATTAAAAACAAAAACCATTCCCAGCATTTTGTTACCCATCCATATTCATATATAATTATTTTCTACTCTGCTTCTTCCCAAGTCCAAAACACTCATCAAAACTAAATCGTCAACTTGTGTGGGTGTGTATCCAAAAAGCTGAACCTCAACCACAACCAGAAGCAGCACCAGCTATCCTCCTGGTGGCTGGTGGAGATGATGATGGAGCACCATGAACTGTGCTGGCCTTGCCTAACAGCCACCCTCTTTCATGGGCCCTGTCCTCCTTTTACATATCTGCTTCTTATCTTCTTTTTCTTATTATCACATGTTTATACTCTCCTGTGCATCTCCTCATACATTATTCCGTCGCTTACATGCAACCAATCCTATCATCGATCCCCATATATATATACATATATGATCCCGTTGACCCTCTGTAATTTCATGTACATGCTTTTAGCTTAATCAGCTATACATAACCAGCTACGTTGTACGGAACTATGGATTAATTAATACAGTACTTTAAGCTCTTTAAACCCTCTGGAATTAACTAGGCAACCAAATGGATTAGGTTTATGACGTTGATTATTCGTTAGCAAGTCAGCGTGTATCCGGAGTTTCGGACTTTGGTTTGTTCGGTTCAGCGCTCAAGAGGCCCTCGTCGACACCTTTAACTCGTCCTGCTTGTGTGGTGCATGTCTTTGCTTTTTATCCACACATGGACAAGGAAAAGTCCACACCCTATCTATATATGCACTATCTATATATGCACTCACACACGCATTTAGATATATAGATATTACCATTTAACTATATATGACTCAGAATAATTTAGACAAGGGAGATTGAGATGGAGAGCGAGTGGCTACACACACATACACGAAATGTGAGTAGGGTGTTTCAAAACTGAATGAGTATAGAGGGGCAAATTGGATCCCAATTATGTGAGTTGTGGGGCTATGTTTCATTCATTCGTGTCCTTAGTTGGGTGGACAAATTGTGGGGTTCGTTTTTCAACGCAAAAGATAAGGCCTTTTCGTTGCTAGTGATGGCGCACAAATCAGCATTATATCCAAACAAAACTATGTAGCTTTCGTGGGGTTGTGTAGCATATATCCATATATATTTATTGATTGAGATTATCTTTTCATTTATGCTCATAATAAGAAGGAGAGGGACCTTCCTACCGCCTAATGATGTAACTGAAAGTTGACTTATAATTTTGTGCCTTGCCGGTTTTGGGGGTCAACATTTTTAGGTTTACACCATGCATGTAGAGAATGAATCAGCATCTCCTGAAAAAGTTTCTCAATTCCAACACAGAAATAAGTGTAACATGGCATTGCAGGATGGAAACCGTGGTACCACGTTGGATCCTTGTCAGATTATGTTAGCTACCTACTTGATGCAAAATCATCATCTCCAAGACAATATATATGCAACTCTTCAAAAGTCAAATGCGGTTTTCCATGCATCACTGTAAACTACAGATGAAATGATGAATAGATCACCCAAAAAAATAGTGGACCCCTCATATAAATGAAATAAGATTTTAATATTAAAAAATTTTTGCATTTTTGTATTGTTACAAGTCTGAGACTTGTATAATATACGTAAAAAGCTAGATCTAGTCTCTTTAGGTTAACATAAAATAGCAGGCTTATCTTAATTGACCTGGATTAGAAAACAAACCTGTTGTTATATCTCATAGGGAAATAATAGCTTAAGTTGGCTTGTTATTGGGCTAATAGCAGATTAAGGAACAATTAATTACAATATTGTCTATGACTGTAATATATTCTTCCAAGTGCAGAAGGCAACACCTGAAGCAGCAGGGTTTGCAAAGACCCCATCTCTCAATTTGTGTGTCTGTTGCTTCGGCTTTAAATCATCTTTTAGCAGAGAAAATTGGCATGAGTGCCTTCATGCGACATTATACATAAGGGGACATGCTGATTGTTTTTCTTTTATTTTTCTTACAGGGACACGGTATATATGGTGAGAGAATCTGTGCTTAAAGCAGCTACGTAAGCCCATATATACTTCACAAAGGTTCCTCAAGCACATGATATTTGGGACAGATCGATGCATGTGCACCTGCTTGCAACAACAAACAAAAAACGTCTCATTTCGCTTCTCTCCTCTCATCCAAAGGCCATTATGTACGAAAAACAAAAAACGTGTGGTTGCTCAGACTCCACGATCACCTACTAGCTTCCTCTCTTGAGGAATTATTTCACAAATCCTTCTTCTTGTTCTTGAAATAATTATATTCCAAAGATTCTCCCAAGTTGGTCTTATTTTGCTTTTGGCCCCCAAAGATATTCTACTCTTTCGTGGAGTATGATATTAACGTGACACGGGAGAAGGGTAAAAATATAAAAGGAGAGAGTAGGGCCATGAGTCTTGACATTGAAATGGTTCTGAGGAATGGCATGGGAAGCACATGGATGATCCTACGTTATGAGGTCAGTCCATGTTGCTCTCGTGGGATCCATATTCCTCTTTGAAAGTTACCTTGCACTGGTACTCACTCCGTACAACACTACTTGCATAATTGCCTAGCCTCCTTTTATTTCCTTCAATGTCATTCCCCTTTTCCTGTTCTTTAGTTATCTGTTTCTGTGTTAGACCAAATAAAAACAGAGAGCCATGCATTATCATTTCTCACAGCAAATTAAACTACTCAATTCCGTGAGAAAGATTCTAATGCCAGCCCTCTTTTGCTTTAAACGACATATCTGCAGGGGACACTTCAATTCAGTTCGTTTCACCTATATTTATTTCTCTACTCTTCACCATTTAATTACATGACTTTGATCATCACTTTCACTATGGATAGCTAGATAGATAGAAGTGAGCATGCAGATGATGAGCAAGATTTTCAACCTGCATGTCATGTTAAGGCTTTGGGTCCACTTTGTAGTCGGTAACATGTTCAAGCATCACCATTGTTGACTTATAATTGAATCGCAATAAATGAACGAGAGAAAAGAAAAATATCAACATTTTTGCTTCTCTGCTTTATTATTATTTTTTTTTCTAATTGTGTGTTTACCATAGATCTATCTAAATTTTAATCATGGGCGTCAAGGTCTATGCTTTCAGAGTATTTTGTAGGAACAAAGAAAGCGTAGTGAATAAAATAAAAAGTATACAAAAGGGTGGGAAGAGTGAGAATATAGAGGAAAAGAAGGACATAATGTTGGATATAACTAATAACTATAATAACTACCAATTAGGACATTCTGAAACTCCAAGCACCGATCTTCCAACCATAAATAACCACTGAAATCCTAAAAGGGAACTAAAAAAAATGAAAATGAAAATGAAAGTAAAGATAAGATTGGCGAGTTCAGCAGCTGAAAACCACACACACTGGGGAAAAAGCTCTAAGTGGCCACCCAAAATGGCTCCCAATTGGGCATCGCGTTCTTGTTTCTATTCCCACTTTCCTTGCACCTTCTTGGTCTGGCCAACTTCCTCTTTCCAATTTCATCATCAACAATCTCATTAATCCCTTCCAACTCCTCTACATCACTATCTTCGTCGTCGTCGTCAGCAACAACTACTCCTTCTTCTTCCTCTTCTTCCTCTTCCTCTTCTTCTCCTTCATCATCATCAGCTGCTGCTTCGTCATCAGAAACTTCGTCATCAGAAAGGAAGGTCTGAAACATCGTAAGAGTGAGCCTGCCATTAATTCGCTGTGCTTGAAAACAAGGCTGAACGGAAGGGGTAGCTACAGCTTCCAAGATTAGTCTACCATCTTCACGATGAGGCCTCACTTGAACCCCTCCTAAATCTGTAAGAGAAGTCAGAGGAGGAGGGAAGCTCCTGGAACGTTTCATTCTGCTGGAGGACACAGAGTCACTTCTACAAGCTTCTGAGACGTGTCTTGAGAAACAGGCGGTGCTATTTTCTGATGAAAGGAAGGCAAATTCGTCCATGTTATCGCTGGCATTATCACTACCAGTCTCGCAGCCTAGACTTTCTGTGCACATTTCCAAGCTCTTTCCGGTGAGCATGGAGGAGGAGTGCTTCACCGCGGGATGAACATAGACTTTCTGAGCCTGAGGATCTTCAGTTTTCTTGAGAGACAGGAGAAAACTCCATCCACCCATGTCAGCATTTTTGTCCATCTTCGTGGAAATTTCATCTTTTGTGCTGGAATTCTCTTGGGCTTCAGGGAGAGAGAGCGACCCTGGAGGAGTCAATTTGAGCCTCAGAATTTGTGGTTCGATTAGCCAAGGCTCCATACAAGACTGAAACCCTTGACACACACTTGAGGAAGGCATTTGCGTTATCCACAAATACTAACCGTTATAAAAAGCAAAGCAAAAGAACAGAACAAGGGAAGAGAGACACAGGAATTTTTTTTTTTTTTTTTCAACTCTCTCACCAAGTTCCAGTTAAAACGAGGAATGAGAAAAATGAAGATCTGTTGCGAAGGAGGAGGATTTAAACAGAACCCATTTCCTTGAGTTTGGCTCAAATTGAAAATGGGTTCTGGGGAAAAAGAGAGAAAGAGGATGGGAGAGAACAGAGGAATGGGCATGAAATAGAAGTGGGAAAGATGTATCTCAATATATAGTTGGCAACACCAGAGTGCTGCTTGTAGCTTTATTGTGGTGGGAAGGAAATTGTATACCAAGCATATGGTAAAATCATTACTATTTTACATTTCCTATACGTTACAAAGAAAGAAAAAGGCGTGGGATCTGACTGTATACTTAGTAAATAGCACATGTAGAGTAGCCTTCCACTTTAAGCATCCCAAATATCAACTTATTTAATTGGAGTCCCTCTGCGTCAATAATGCCCTCTATATGATTATTAACCTTTAGTTTTGGCTGTGTTTATGCCACATACCTACGTATAAACACATAATTGCATGACAAATAATGATCAAGCAATTTAACAAGACATCTACTTTTATCAGTAAGGACTTAAATTACAGAGGAATAAAGTGAGGGAAATCGTAGTGGAAACATGACTAGTTGAAAAGGCACGAGACAAGAGTAGTGGAATATATCTCTGGTCACTCAACTATACTAAAAAGATAATGTGAAAAAAAAAATTAAAAGAAGGAAAAAAATATGGAAGTAACAGTGTGATAAAGGAAGCTTTGTATGGTTTTGCTCCTAAGCTGGTTGACCACCAGAAGCCAAAATGATCTTTTCGAGCCTGTCCAATGGATTCCTTACTTTGGCTTCTATTTTTTGTAGCCATTGGTTGAAAATTCTATCGATATGGCACACTGCCATCGACAGAACCAAAAGCTTGGCCACAGAAACCAACAACAGTTACTGCTATGTTCAATCATGCTCAGCATGTTGTCATTCCACCGTTTTGATTCTTTCGTTATGTTTAATCATAAAGATTACATCTTTCCGTCCAAATACTTTATTAGGGTAGTTTATTCTGGTGTTATTATTGTTTCTTTTTTTCCAAGATTCAAATATCATTTATTGAACTGACACAAGAAATACTCGGCTAGGTTTATTCCAAACATAACATGGTATTCAGAGTTGTCCAAAACTCCAAATTCTAAATACACTGTTTAGTTACTTGGGGCCGTCGTGGATGAACAATGGTTTGACATGTTAAGTGAAACTTACGTAAAGTAGATAGTGGGAACGTCAGATAGGTGCTTGTCTGTGGATTATAATATTCTCAGAGCAGACAGAGAACCATTTCTTTAATAATATAAGCTTAGATATTTTTAAGAGTCAACTGACTAGACAATGGAACTAGAGGAAACAAAACCTTTGTATGATATAATCGCCGCTCTAATGTCTTTTTTCTGGACTTCTGATACAATCGTCACTCTGTCTTTCTTCTAGACTTGTTTCATCAATCACGAGTTTAGGGCACGCCCAAAGTCTATGGCTAGTGTATTTTCCTTGTCGAAGCAATAGAAAGCATCAATTCATCACCTTTTCCTTCTTGGCCTTTCGTGTCTTTCTATTGGCCAATTCTTTTTTGCACTGTCAAAATCTGTACGGGAATTAGGCATATATTGTTTTGCTTCGACATGCTGAAGAACTGTTCAACCAAATCAAGCAAATCTACAAAAGCATATAGTCTTTAAAAGCCTCATCGATCATCATCCCTCCTGGTAGGAAATTAGTCCGTATATATCTCTAGCTTCTTCAACAATATAAATAATAAAAAGAAAAACGAAAGAACCTGATTTGAGCAACAGGATACAGAGCAGCATTTGGCTGTCTAGGAATCTATCATGCACACGAAAAAAACGTGAGAATCAGTGCTTTAAAATGTAACACTTCTCCTTCATCTTCTCATAACAAGCAACTTCAAAGAGTGATCGCGTTTAAGTAAGTACCTATACAATCATAAATTCAATAGAAACAAACTCCTAGGTTAAGGGAACAATAGGCATATGGGATATCAAGCAGCAGAAGAAAGTTGCTACCACCATGTCTCAACACTGATAATTAAGTTAATGACAGGTGCCATACCATTAATATGCTCTTTATGAAAAACAATTAGAAAAAGACCATTTTTTTGCCAATAATATTGTAAAAAAAAAAGGTCCTCTTTAGTCATTTTTGGTTGGTGTTATCTATATGCATGTCACATAAGACGGTGCAATCATATGATTATCATATGTGGGTGAGTAATTATGATCCGTGAAAGGATAACACGTGCAAATGTCTGTCTTATTACATCTTAAATTGCTGTCATTACTACAGGGATGTAAAACAAGATGAGATGGAGAGAAAAATGTAAGGACGCAAGTCACATGGATCATTGTTCTCTTCACCATCCTTATAAAACGTTGATTGATTGTGGTCCCTTTTCAACACATCAAACTACCGAAATTGGTTTTTCAGATAGGATGACGTGAAACACCAATTATACGGTTCTGAGGTTAATTTTGAGACAAACATACATATATGATGCGAACTTAAAGAAGGAATCTCATCCCAATAGAGGAGGACGTGCATGAATAATATTGCTGAAATTAATAAGAGGGACCTAGCATTCACAGTCCTTCCGATAGCTAAAAGCAGGTTTAATTTATTGATATTAAGTGAAGAAATAAAAGGAAAAATTGGCGGGAGGCAAGAATATATGCGCCATGCACACTTTCTCAGAAAAAGGTCGAAGCCCTAGCCATCGAATTTGCTTGCATGATACACTTTGCAATCTGAGTTTTGTTCTAAGTTGACCAACCAGGGAAGGAGAAACCCTACGGCCAGCTAGACCTCATTATATGCGTTCTAGGTGTATGCAATTAAAGCTCTAAGTTGTTTGTTACCTGACCTTGGTTCTGCAATATAATATAAATTAGGACTTGACTTTCTCAGGAAGAAAATTAAAGATGAATGATTGATTCTGTTCAAATGTTGATTTTTGACGAGGTTGATATATATGATAGCGGTGCTTCCATGTCTTGTGTTTCGGTTCCAATTTTCAGGCATGCAGTGAGGTGAGATCAAAATGAATAGCAGAAAAGATTGGGCGGCACGTAGACCACGCAAGCTTGTCACGAAACTAATGGTTGCTGCTCAATCGTGAGTTGCGGAGGATGGACCAAAACGAAAGGCACTTTCTCTTACATTAATATATTACATTGGATGCTTTTTTATGGACGGCAGAGATATCATTCTTGAAGCTTCATTTTCAACGAATTTCTTCTCCACACAGTACTTCCGTTTCTTGGATTCCGAGGTAAGAAACCTCGTTCCTTGGTTTCTGACGTATCCAGTGTGAGGACATCAGACCAAGAGGCTTGTCTGTCTCAAACTGGGCTTATTCCTCAAACTTACAAAGAGTTATGTTACATAAAATATAATTAAAGCATATAGCATTTTGATAATTTTTAGTTTGACATTGAAATATATAATGGATAAGGCAATTTAGGCTAAACTAGGAAGTTATGGTCTTGAAAATGGGGTCTAGTTGGATTTGGGCCTATGTGGTACCTGAAAGAGTAGGTGTGGCCTGGCGTTCCATAATTTCTTAATTGATTATACTTTTGGGGACTAGATTCCTCAGTCTGCAATCATGTGTTTGTTTGGGCTTACCGCTCTTTTCTCACCCCCAAAATAAAATAAATAAATAAATAAATATATATATATATATATATATATCCTCAGACGTAAATTTATATTGTCTTAATTAATTAGAATTAAGTAGTTATTACCCAAAAAAATAGACTTAAGTAGTAAATTTTAAAGTTAAAAATAAGCTAAAAGTGTTTATAACAGGGATTATGGCAACGTAAGTGATACTCCCTCCGGTCCCATTTATAAGTCCAATTTTAGAAGGTGTATTTGGTCCCATTTATAAGTCACGGTGTGTCTTTTTAGGTAATATTTGAAAGGTATTTCCAAAATTACCCTTCATGAGAGAGAAAAAGTAACAGGATATTATTTTTTAGATTTGTTATATAGGGGCATGTTTGAAATTTTACTTACTTTTATTCTTTATACTTTTATTGTATTGGTATTGATGAGATTGATAGAGATGACTTATAAATAGGACCGGAGGGAGTACGTTACAAAATCTATAGCCCTCATTTGATTAAAAACAGTTTCTTAATTTAGTTTAGATACCCAAGTCTTTTTCTCCCAATTAGTAAGCGTTTCAATTTATTTTCTAACCACGGTTGGGGGCAAAAAATGCTTCGTTTTTTTTTTTTTTTGGACAAAGAGAGAACAAAGCCTTGAAAAAAGAAAAAGAAAAAAAAACCACATGAATATTCCATCCCTGACAACAAACAAATCTCACACCTCACTTTTACAAGGGATGAATGGTAAAGCTATATACATTTTTTGCCAACATATGGTTTTACCTTTTCAAAAACAAAACAATTGATTTCAGCCCCATAATTCAAATAAAGCGCTTGAAAATTTGTTTTAAATGATCATTATATTAGTAAAGTAAATATATATTGGTATAAATAAAAAGACGATTGAATGTGCATATAATTAATATCAACTATTTATAATTTCGAGTTATTTGTATTCGCAGTGGAATTAAAATTACAAAGAAATACAATAATTAAGGCATTCGAGATCAACGAAGATGCCTGAAATTTTCCGTTTAACTCGAAGAGAAATACAATAATACCATGTGACATTCAAGATTAACGACGATCAGGAAATTTTCGGTCTTTCTCATCATCCCCATGAACGCCGTCATCGTCGAGTAAAGTAGGGAACTCGAAGAGGTCACTCCTGGGCGTTTGAAATGCTTTATTCTTACCATTGTCGCCATCCTCTTCTTCTCCTTCTTCTTCTCCGACAACTGACGGCGACGGAGACGAGAAGTCCAAATACATTCCCTGGATGACCTGCTCGTATGATTCAGAGAGGTCTTGAGAGGTATGCTGGTGGTACTCCACTAGCTGATGCAGGCACTGGTTTTCTCTTATCAGATTCGCATTTTCATTGGCCAATCTGGACTTTTCTGCAAGTAGTGCTTCTAGTTGAAGCCTCACAAGATCATCTTCCTCGGGCCTTATTCCTTTAGCAAATCCATCACGCAGCCTGCTATTCTCCTCCTCAAGCAGAGCACATCTTTCTTGCATGAAGCTCAAGTCTGACTTTATAGACTTCAATTCTCTTGCAAGCGACGCTGCTTTGCTTGCCATTAAAACTGCAAGCTGACGGAGATAGACAAGTACGCTTTAGCTTGATTAATAGTGCTTTTGGAAATGGAATAACAATGGCTATTAGAAGATGAATTGTACCAACATTTTTGGCTTTCTTTAGGTTTTTGTTTCTGTTTATTTCTTCATTAGCCTTCTGGGAATCATCCACAGTATCTTCCGACAACTCGCTGGGATCATACTTCCTTTTTATTCCTTTTTTTGATTCTTCTTCTTTCTTTTCCTCTTCCGCTTCGCCTTCTTTACTCTCAACCTCGTTGTGTTTGTTCTGTAATATGTCGGTCAATCTGGGTGGTTGACCCAATTCTCTGGCTCCCTTCGGCCAAAAAAAGAAACACACTAGAAATTTTAATTTCACCGTGAATAAAATACCTAAAACACCGATAAATCAACAGGTATATGAAAAAGAATGTACGAAAACGCCTAATCGGAGATCAAAATTCAGAATGAAACCTGCAAGGCATTGTCCAGATTGTTTGAAAGCAGAGAGAGAGTGTGGGCGATGGAGTCAAACCCTCTGATAAGTAGCAACGAACCTTCCTTCAACCTCTTAGATTTATTACTCTGCAAAACGAAGATGAAGAAGCCATTATTTAGTTTTGCCAGCATATTCGAGAATCCGTCGTAATTTATGCAGAGGCAGGTGTGACCTCGTGTGCGAGAGCGTGAGTAGATGAATCATCGTCCATGGAGACTTTGGTATGACGTTCATCAAGAATGGTATCGATCCTGTTGCGGAGATTGCTCCAGAAACGCTTATCTGAGGAAAGGCTGAACAGAGGAGAAGAAGAAGCCATTGGTACACTGTCGGTCTCCTGTGATGATGACAATAATTAAAACTCATAAAGCATAAGAAAAAGAGAGAAGAGAGAGAACGATGAAGAACAAGAAACCTGGTTGAATCGGAGAGGAGAGGGAGAGGAGAGAGAGGCAGCCATTGCAGAGAGAGAAGGTAGGGGAGGCTCGAGATCAAACGGTTAGTTTTCAAAAGTGAGATGGGGAGGCGGAGGATTTTAATAGTTTAAATATAGATGGGCCCTACATCAGGGTTGGGTAACGTTCGGAAATCTGAAGCTCCTTTTCTTTTATTGCTCTGCTGTCTGGGGTTGGTAAGTGTCACGCTCCCTTTTCATTGGTCAATTGTGATTTCTTTGTTCGGTGCTCCTCGGCTCTTCTTTAGATTATGCCAGCCCCACCCGCCCTTTCTCTCTTTCTTGACCATGAATAATTATGCTTTTTTCTTTTTTGCATGAGAATTATAATGCTTTACTGCTTCAGTAATTCCCGTCTTATAATTTTTGTTCAGATATAATTCCATCTCTAAATTTTAACTCAATGCAACTGAATACATATAATTAAAAAAAATAATCTTTTAATTCTTCAACTTTTAAATCACTTATAATTCAGTTCCTCAATTATGACTCATTGTAACTCAGTCCCTTAACTATAACTCACCTACTCAATCCCTCAACTTTTGAATCACTTATCAATTAGTCCCTTAACCTTTATTAAATTTTTTATATTAGCTTATATCTCACATTAATAAATAAAAAGAGGGTATTTTAAAATAATATATGAGCATTATTTGATAAAAAAAATTTAAAAATAAGGATTGAGTTATAGGTAAATTAAAAGTTGAGGGATTGAATTACAGCGAATTATAGTTGAGGGACTGAGTCGCAACAAGTTATAGTTGAGGGACTAAGTTACAAATGAGTTAAAAGTTGAAGGATTAAAAAATTAATTTTTTAAAAAAAATTTAACAATAATTATATTTTCTAAAAAAATAAATTTGTATAAAATTCATCACATGTCGCTGAGTACCTTAAAAAAAAATTACGGGTTTATATAATACTCGTACTTAATAAAATTTATTGAGCATTTATTTGCCCTTAACTCCAACCTTCTTAGAACAAACTAGTGTATAGTTTGTATACATAAGAAAAATATCATTCAAAGATCATGAAAACTATTTAATATCAAATAAAGATTAAAAAATTTTAAAATATTATTGTAAGATCATGTAACTAAGATAGAAAAATATTATAATACCTATACATTAAAAAAAAACTTGTCAATCACGAATAGTTTTTTATTAAATGCAAATGATTATTTGTTAATTAACGAATAGCTATTTGTTAAAATATAATTCACACTTGTCCCTTCTCACAATTAAATTCTTTCAAATTCTTAAATTTGTCACTTAACAAATAACGTTTTGTTAAATGTAAGTTGATATTTGTTAGGGAAAATGACAATTAGGTCCCAAAGGACCAATTTTATTCAAGATAAGTCCCAAAATATTCTGAAAGGCCAGTTAAGTCCCTAAGTCCTTGAGTGGCATTTTAATATAATGAGAAATGACCAAAATACCCTTATTTGGCTGATAAAAATGTGAGGTTTCTCCTTATCTACTCTTCCTTGCCCTATTCGTCATCCCTTCTTTCCCTGCCCTGTTCCTCGTCTCTTCTTTCCTTACCTTGTTTATCGTCTCTTCCCTGTCTCATTGCAAGCGAGTAAAGCTCTCTGTCATCTCTTTCCTGAGCTGTCCAATAAAGTTGTCTATCATCTCTATTCCAGTCCTGTTTAACAGCTCTTCTCTGCCCTAAGTGATCAGTTACTTAAGTCATTAATCTGTAATCTGTTTTGGTCATTAATCTTTGATGGGTGTGATGCATTTGTCTAGCTGAAGAGTCTGATTCTCATCAATATTTACCATTTTGATTATGCAGAAATTACTTCTTCAATTTTTTTCCCTAAGTGTCTTAGCTGAAAGGGACTATGTAGTTTATACAAGTGATGACATGCTCTAATGGATTTTAAGTTCAAAGTTATACATTGTACCCAATTAATCAAGTTTGCAACTTTGTAACTCTGTAATTTATTTTCACAATTTTATTCCCAACTTCTAATATTGAAACGTATTTATAATGTTCAAGTTATATATTATACCCAATCAATCAAGTTGTCAAGCAACTTAGATACCCAGTTTTGCAACTAGCTTGAGACAAATTTGCCACTGCTTGTCAAAATTTTGGATGGAAGAACCATTGAATTTTTAAAAAATTTATTATTCTAGGACAACGCTCCAGTAATTTGTAATTCAGACACCAGATTTTGCAACTATCTTATGAATAATTTGCAACTTCATTTCAAAATTTTGGGTGGAAGAACTATTAAATTCTTAAAGTTAATATTGTAGGATAATGCTCCAGTAATTTGCAATTGAGACACCAAATTTTTCAACTTTCTTACAAATAATTTGCACCTCCTTTTCAAAATTTTGGGTGGAAGAACTATTTAATTTTTAAACTTGCAAAGCTACTAAATTATTTTAGAACATGGCTCCAGTAATTTGCAACTGACATACCAGATTTTGCAACTTCATTACAAATAAATTGCAACTCCTTCTCAAAATTGTAGGTGGAATAACTTTTGAATTCTTGAACTTACAAGCTATCAAATTATTTTAGGATAACGCTCCAGTAATTTGCAACTGACATACCAAATTTTACAACTTTATTATGAATAATTTGCAACTCCTTCTCAAAATTTTGAGTGGAATAACTTTGAATTCTTGAACTTGCAAAGCTACCAAATTATTTTAGGATATGGCTCCAGTAATTTGCAACTAATATACTAAATTTTGCAACTTCCTTACGAATAATTTGCAACTCATTCTCAAAATTTTGGGTGAAATAGCTTTTAAATTCTTGAACTTGCAAAGCTATCAAATTATTTTAGGATATGACGCCAGTAATTTGCAACTAACATACTAAATATTGCAACTTCCTTACGAATAATTTGCAACTCATTCTCGAAATTTTGGATGGAATAACTTTTGAGTTCTTAAACTTGCAAAGCTACCAAATTATTTTAGGACATGGCTCCAGTAATTTGTAATTGACATACCAAATTTTGCAACTGCCTTACAAATAATTTGCAACCTTTGTTCAAAATTTTAAGAAAACACACTTTTAGTGATTACAGAAGATATAAACTGTACATATAAGTTGCATGTATTAATTCATCTAATGCATCTGCACATATCAGTTGTCCACATACACAAAAGCATGACTTGAATTTATAAAAGAGGGGTTGCTATGTATCAAAAAAATCCCCCAATACTACCAATATATATGTATAAAAACCTATATATGTTAACCAAATCTAACTTGATCTAAAACTACCCATATATGTATATCACCCAAATCCAAGTTCATGTGGTAACCCATTTACAATAACATCAACTTGAATTTAGATTTCTACACCTCTTCCATGTACGATCTGCTTTATGACAATGAGAACAATGATAAACCTTCTTCTGCTGATATTGAGACTCAATCCTCACATGACGAGGTCTGTCAGCTGATCGAGATGTTCTAGGAGGTAGCAAAAAGGTTTGGCTTATGAGCTTAGATACTGTCAATGCATTTAGCTTTGACATCTCATGGGTTTCAACATGATGCAAAGTGCCATTGTATATTTTCTCTTATGAACTACAAAGATAATATGCATAGTGCAACACTATACTTGTAGATTGCTTGTCTACAATCATTAGCACTCGTAAAAATCTGCTCAAGTCCTACTAGTAAATCTTTTCACTTTGTTCCATTTAGCTCAGGCATTGGTGTTGGGATACTTTGCATTGCACATGGTAGAACTTCAAGATCTTGTGTAGCATGTGAATTCTCAGCTGAACATCCTGCTCTGCATTTTCATTCAAATCATGTTTATTACTACCATCCATATTCATATTAACATAATATTAATTATGCAACTATTAAAAAAACTTACCTATCAATTGAATCTCTTGTTGCCTTTATACTTTGCTATATCTTCCCAATGATGTACACATGAGCAAGATTATCATTCAATTTCATTAATTGATTTATCCCTTCATCATCTTTAAGGTCTAAAAGAGCATTGCAATTAAACTTTATTGTTTACTTCAACTTTATTCCATTTAAATTACAATTCAAGTATGATGAAATCAATCTAACAAGTCCTTCAAGAGATTTATCCCTTCATCATCTTTAAGGTCTAAAAGAGCATTCCATTTAAGTCCTTCATGATAAATTAGAGCATTCCTTCTCTAATCATTCTTCCATTACAACTCCCCCCATCATAATGCATTGTCCTATGCATATCTTTTACAATATCTCCACTAAAATAAAAATAACAAAAAATTTTCTTTAAACAACTACTTTCCATCGTACCCAATAATATCAACCTACAAGAAACAAAATAAAATGTAATAATATATCACTTAAAAACAAGTTACTTTTGACATAAGTGATTTTCGCATCAGTTAAACAGTGACAGCGTTCCATCTTAAAATATGGACACTTGATAATAATTTCTTACACTTTCAGTTGTAAAATGTCGAATCTTCATGCCAAATATTTAGAAACGTGAAATAAAAAAAATCTTTCATGTTTAGTTGCAGAAAACCATTCCATCTTTTTTCTTACGAAATCCATTTTGCAAGAAATCAAACCTTCATGGAGTAAACCTTTTTGTTCAGATGCAAGGATTTGCAAAAAAAAAAAAAACTTGTCTGCACGCACCAACACAACTCCTTAAGCTTTCTTAAGTCAATAATTGAGGCAACTCACCTCTTCCAAGCATAACTCTATTTTATGAATGGGTATTCTTCAATGTACAGTTCCACCACTTACATGCAGCTCTAATCAATGGTGGGAAAGAGATAAATCGGGAGGGAAATGTTGAAACTGATGAGTGTACATGTTATATTTACTCATAAGGGCATTTTCGTCATTTCTTTTGTAATTCTGATTGGGAAAAAACAGCATGAGACTTGATTGGCCTTTTAGAATTAGTTAGGACTTAACTGGTATAAAATTGATCCTTTGGGACTTGATTGTCATTTTTCCTATTTGTTAATTAATCAATGATTACTTGTTAAAACATGATTTACATTCATTCATTTCCACAATTAAATTCTTTTAGATTATTAAACTTGTTAATTGATAAATAACTTCTTGCTAAATGCAAAAAAGTACTTATCAATTAATGAATGGTTATTTATTAAAATATGATCTATAATTATCCTTTTCTATAACTAAATTCTTTCGTGTATTTGAACTTGTCAATTAATTAATGACTTTTTGTTAAATTTAGTTAATTCATGAATGATTACTTATTAATAAAAAAAAAGGATAAGGGTGTTATAGTCTTTTTAATCTAAAATTATTTTCAAATCGGTCTTCTGATCTTATAGTGATATTTTAGATTTTTTTTTTGTCAATGGTCCCTGAATGATATTTATTCTATACATAAACACATGAGTAAATCTTACTACGCTTTCTTCAGTGTAATATAGTATTTCTTCTATTTTTATATATAAGATAAAAAAATTGTATTACATAATTTTAAAAAATTAATTATCTATCATAATGATGTTTGGAAATAAAAAAATTGAATTAAAATATTATGTACTCCCTCCGTTTCAAATTATAAAATATTTTTAAAATGAATTTTCTATTTCAAAATATAAAATATTTTAAATAAATTAAAATTTTATTAAATATATTAATTTTAATATTATATTTTTTATAATTAATTTTTATTTTTTCTCATTTCAATATCTTCGTTCTTCTCATTTTAAAATTTCGTTATTAAATATATTTAATAAAATTTATTAATATGTAAAATTTAGGAAGCTAGGTGTATTAACATGCATTAATGTTAAAAGTGATAGCATCTATAAACATGCATTAATGGTTTGTCGAGGTAAATTATGGCAAATAATTTAAAAAATCTATAACAAATGTTTACTCGAACATGTGATTTTGCTTGTTAAAAAAACAAATTAAATTAAAAGTGAAAGCACCTGGGGAGAGAGTACAGAGTGCGAGGAATAAAATTACCCGGGAACTGGGGCACGCGTGGTTATTGGTTAACTCTATCTAGTGTAAAAGCAACTGCTGGTTCTCATTCTCTGAGAAGAACCAGGATCACGAATCAATGGCTTCTCTTGCCTCTTCTTCGGTTTCGCTCTACTCTTCTTCGTCTGCTACCCTCCTTCCACCTTCTCTTTCTTCTTCTACCTCTCGTATCTCTTTCTTTTCATTATCCTATTCCTCTTCTCTATCTATTTCCCCCGTCCTTCTTCCCCACCCTTCTGCTTCTGCACGTTTCGCCACTCCTTCTGCTTTCAGTCTGAGGGCCAGCGCTGAGAAGAAGAAGGTTCTTATTGTGAATACCAACAGTGGTGGGCATGCGGTAATCGGCTTCTATTTCGCCAAAGAGCTTCTGGGCAATGGCCATTCGGTCACTATTCTCACTGTTGGTGAAGAAAGCTCAGAGAAGATGAAGAAACCCCCTTTTACCCGATTCTCAGTTATAAACTCCTATCTTACGCTCAACAAGTTGTTTGCTTACGCAATGCTTACATGTCTCTGTGATATTGGCGATGACTACTGTGAGTCCCTTGTATTTACGTGCGAAATTTTCTTGTGTGATTGAAAAATATGCAGGAAATTGTGAGCGCTGGAGGCCGCACAATCTGGGGAAATCCGAAAGAAATAGAGAGTGTTGTCGCAGGGGAACCATTTGACGTGGTTTTGGACAACAATGGCAAGGACCTTGACGCAGTGAGGTTTGTTGCTTTAATTCTTGTAAGTTGTTAGGTCTTAGGTGATGCTTAGACTTTGATGGGAAGTCATTGCTTTGGGTTTGATTTACGTCTTCCTTGGGATGATTTTGTCTTGCCAACTATGAAGGAGGAAGAGAAAAACAAAAATAAATCATTACGGTTCATCAGTATTGCGAGAAAAGCATATGCTGTTTTGATCCCATTTCATAATAACGTTTTGAGACTATAATAATGACAAATGAATAAGTGGTTGTTGGAAATGGCGAGGCAAATAACCTTTTCTCGGGCATTCCTTCTTAAAATGCATTCAGGAAATAATATGCATTTGCAATCTCCAAGACACTTGTCTAACATCAATATTGATCACTTGTAGACCTGTGATAGACTGGGCCAAAAGCTCTGGAACCAAGCAATTCTTGTTCATCAGCAGTGCTGGAATCTACAAATCAACTGATGAACCTCCCCATGTTGAAGGGGTATGTTATACTCCCTCCAGTTCTATTTATAAAAAACCTTTTAGAATTAATTTTGGTCCACTTTGCAATAATTAAATCACTTTTTTTAATTTTACCCCTTCTTGATTAGCACGAAAGTATTTAATGTAATTGTATTATTATTTAAAGCAAAGAGTAAAAATGATAGTACATTTTACTTTTTTATTATATAAAAAAAAACTAATTTTTTTAAGATGTGTAAAATAATTAAAAGTGTCTTCAGAGGGAGTATTTATAATCATCTTGTATAGATACACACAAGTATGCCAATAGCAGTATATTAGCCGGAGTGAAAACCTCCTCTCATTCAGGATGTTGTTAAAGCTGATGCTGGTCATGTTGGAGTGGAGAAATACGTTGAGGAAACTTTTGGTAACTGGGCAGTATTCCGGCCACAGTATATGATTGGCTCTGGCAACAACAAAGACTGTGAAGAGTGGTTTTTTGACAGTAAGTGGAAAATTCCCGGACAAGATTTATCTCTTGTCTGGCTCCAGAAACCTCAGATAGCATATGTAATCTGTCAAATAAGAGGTCGCTTGCAGATTTCATTGGACGCAAACTCATGAATATTCTGTTTCAGGAATTGCAAGGAACAGGCCAGTACCAATTCCTGGCTCTGGTCTGCAACTCACAAACATATCTCATGTTAGGGATCTGTCCTCTATGCTCACTCTGGCTGTTCAGAAACCAGAGGCCGCGAATCATAGCATTTTCAACTGTGTGAGCGACCGTGCTGTGACTTTGGATGGAATGGCCAAACTATGTGCCCAAGCTGCACAGCGCCCTGTTAACATCGTGCATTATGACCCTAAAGCTGTTGGAGTTGATGCTAAGAAAGCTTTCCCCTTCCGCAATATGGTAATTACATAGTCTTCTACTTGGCACTGATGTTTCAAAAATTACATGACACTGATTATAACATCAAATTTAGCAAAGGCATAGATGAGCGTCTTGCTCACCAGGGGATTAGCCGCATTCTCATCTTTTACGCACATACATACAAGAAAACTCCCGTTTCTTGAACTATCGATTGTTGAGCCTAAGGATACATGTAAAACGTGCATTATGCAGCACTTCTATGCGGAGCCTAGAGCAGCCAAAGAAAAATTGGGATGGACATCCACCACAAACCTTCCTGAGGACTTGAAAGAACGGTTTGATGAGTACGTAAAGATTGGGAGAGACAAGAGGGACATGAAGTTTGAGATTGATGATAAAATATTCGAGTCCTTAAAAGTTCCAGTACTCGCATGACCAATTCATATCCAAAGCATATTGTAAGTCTTCCTTGTTATTCTATGAGTAAGTAAGTGTATTAGAGAACGCAACTTGACCAAATTCTTCTTTGTAGGAGAAAGGTTATAACATTTTCATTTGCATCTCTACCAGATCGCAGTAGTTTATCTGGTGGATCTGCTTCAGCTTTAGAATGAATATAATATAATGTATCATCTCAGTTTTCCAGAGTGCACCTCAAGCATTTCAAGAGCCCAGCGCGGATCACAAATATTGCTGGTTGATCAAAATATAAATCATAACCTTTTAGCTGAAATTGGTGCCTAAATTTGTCATCCCGTTCCATTTATCTATTCTCCACACAAGCAGCATTTTGGTGGCTACAATCAAAACTTCAAAAATCCTGGCTATCAACCGGATAAAATAGAACACTCGAATTGCCTACTCACGTACCAGGCATTCTGTCAAAACCTCAACAATTTCCAATAAAAAATGATGCAATGAAAGGGATCAAAATGCACAAACGAATAAAAAGAGGGGAAGTCACCCAACAGGCAACAACCAAAGATCAGGGATTTCCTTGAAAAGGCATAGCATGGCCCAACAATTTCCGAAACTAAAGGTTGAAGACCTTGATGGAATTAATTGTCAAAGTTATGTCGAAGGATAATCTAATAAAATACAACAGTTTTGTAGCCAGCTACCGTGCTGTGAAAAAGTTTGTCAATTGGAAATATAATTGAACTACAAGATTAAAATTATAGGTCACATTAAGAATCCTGCTTGATGTTGAGTCCCTTCAATTTTGATTCTAATTCGTCATGATCAGCATCGTCCTCTTCAGCTTCGTCATCAATATCTTCTCCTTCTGGATCGTTTTCATCCAAGGAGCCAAGCATGTTGGGGCAACTTTTAAATATGTTCTTCAGCTCATCAACCCCTTCATCAGATATGAAGTTAGCATTGATATTGAGCAACTTGAATCCAGGTTTTTGCACAACAGCTTGGGCCAATAGCCTTGCTCCCGACCTTCTGATGGCATTAGTACTCAAATCAACTTCATTTAATTGGCCATGACCCTCTTCCAGTGCCTTGCCAATCAAAATTGCACCTTCATCCTTAAGTTCATTCTCAGACAGATTTAACTTGGTAAGGAACTGTTTTGAAGCTATGCAGGCAGACAATGAAGCAGCACCTTTTGCACTAATATCATTTCCAGATATTTCCAGAACTTCTAGCGATGGTGCGGATTCCTTGAGAGCATTAGCGATTGCTTCTGCCCCCTCATCCTCTAAGTTCAAATAACTGATATATATCTCGGTCAGATCTGCAAATACAGGTATAACTTTACTCAGAGCAACTCCAGCTTCTACACCGAACATATTGTCACGCAAATCAAGCTTTTTCAAATGTGTACAAGTCCCTAGGGCTTCTGCTAGGGCAACACCACCATCAGAGCCTACCCTGGTAGATGAACACCGAAAATCCTCCATAGCTGGGGAATGTTTCAGAATACAAGCTATAGCAATTGCCCCTGCATCTCCAGTCATGTTGTTATGAAAATGAAGAACCCTGAGCTTCTCGGTGGAAGGAATCAATTCAGAAACTGCTTTTGCAGCTTCCTCTGATATACCATCATTCATCAAATAAAGCTCCTCCAAGTTAATTTGTGAACTTAAGAGTGACCCAAATGCCCTAACCCCCTTTTCACCCATGGCATTGTCTGACAAATTGAGAGACTTTAAAGCACAACCTTCCAGCACTGATGAAAATATAGTCATCACTTCAAGAGCTTCTGCTTCAGATCTTCCAGCAATAAAATCTGATAGGTCAACTTCTGTCAACTGATGCTTAATTGATGATAGGATGGGTTCAGCAACACGAGCAGCATCCAAGCCAAAACTTCGATTGCTAAAGCATATCTTAGTATATGAATTTGGTTCTCTCAGTGGTTTTAGAATTTCTGCAGCTTCCTCTCCATCAACGAAGGCTCTGCGCCCTCCAGATATATCAAAAACAGTACCAGCAGTCACATTGACCTTTCCATCTAACGATTCTCCATCTTCCTTCACACGAGGGCCTCTTTTCAATACTTCCAACATAAGCTTACTTGATTCTTTAGCATAAACTTGCACAGCAGAACTCCCATCACCATCAGGCTCCTTCTCAAAATGTTGGTTTGCTATACCAAACACCGTTTCCTCAATTTTCTTTGCATCCTCCTCAGCCTCTTCTTTGCTAAGCAGTCCATACTTTCGAGAGAAAATGGATGGAGTTGTCAGATTCTTGGTCATTCGCTCTACAAGCATTAACCTGGTACTCTGGCTAGGGGGCCACAATTTGATTGAAAATGGGCGATGTTTGTACGTCTGTTCTATGGAATCCATACCAAAGCAGTCTGTAAAATGCATGGCAATAACATTATATGCACTGCCAAAATTAAACACCTGAGATATCATATACTACTTGTTGCCTGACGAAAAAGAGATATCAATTACTAGTTCCTAGAAGACACCAGAAGGATAGCAATTGTTTATTAAAAAAGGTAAACAATAGAATGCATAGATTGTATGAACCAAGAATATAATTGTAGAGATAGTTGCCACAACAATGGCAGGGGAATTGACTTGACCATCGAAGCAAGTGACCCTACTGATCAGAAACAGTGCACCGCAATAGGTTATATGACCAAAAAAAAAATTGGTGTGACTTGTCTTGTCAGCAACAAACTTGATAAGATAAACCCAGATTAAAAAAACGGGGGGGGCGCATAAATATAAACCATCATTTTAAAATTCAAGGAAATGTAATTTGCTTGCTATGACATGATATTTCGAAATTATGATGATATTAGTCTGCACATAAATTCAAAAAGAAAAAAGAAAAGAAAAGAAAACAAACAAACATCTGAAATCATCGATTTGCCCAAGTCGGTAGAATGGTGCAAAAGCCACAAAAGATCTAATCTCGGCAGAAAAACCAAGGTAAACACAAATCGCAGACCATAGACAGTTGTAAACGAAAGTCCACAAATAATATGAATCCTATGAGGCACAGGACCTGCGGAACTGATCCAGCACAGAAGTGCTATTTCAGCATCTAAAGCTATGATTTTTATCAATTATTACAACTCGAAAAATATATGGAACCTCTAAAAGATCGAATAGATCAAATCCAAAGAAACTTGTCCTATAGGAGGAAACGTGGAGGAAAGAAACAAAAGTTGGCTAATCGAAATACAAACATTTACTGAAAAGGACGAAGGAAACAAGTGAATTATAAGATATCATCAGTTCAAAGTCTCCTGACACGAGAAGAGAGACTCAAAGAGAACAAATACAGTAAAGGAAGAAATCTCGAATCTAAGAAAAACCCAGAGTCATCCGCTTCCATTTGCAAGCCCCGAGAGTAGTGAGATAAAGCATAGACAGAGAAGAATATCCACAAATGGAGCGAACACAGAGAAGGGTAAGGAAATTGGTACCTGAGAGTGGTAAGTTAAATTCGATTAAATAGATCCGAAGAAAACCCTAGAGCGAGGCGAAGGGATAATCAATCAAGAATTGGAAACGAGGAGAAGAAGGATTTCAGGGGATTTTGAAATTCGAAATTTTGGAAGTAATCAGTTCGCGGCCTCACTACGATAGCGGAATCTGGAAGGGAGCCATATAAGTACGGAGAAAAGCACTGTCACTCTTTCCCGCAGGCGCGACGAATTTTTTTTTTTTTTCCTTCTATTATTTCTATTATTTTCTAAGTTAGATATTTCTACTATTATTGACTCCAGCTCCTGTTTGTAGGATAAGAAGAGAGCGTTAGTTTTAATTTCATTTATAAAACATTTTATTATTTTTTTTGCCTGACACTATTTTTATATTTACATTTACCTTTTTATCTTTATTAAATATTAAAAATAATTTTTGTTACCTTTATTAAGTGATTAAGGTCAAAAAAATTTAAATTTTAATGTAAAATTGATAAAATTTAAAAAAATTAATTCTTATAAAACATATTAAAAATAATTTATAAATAAAATTAAGAAAATGTGATCGATCATCTATTTTTTAAATACCATATCACTATATTACATCCTGCAATGGAGAGAACATTAATTCTCTTCTTGATTTGAGAGAAATGGAGAGGAATAGAATGGAGGGGATATTTTAATGAGTTTAATTTAAAAAA